TCCGGGAAGACCAAAATCGGGGGGCGAGCGAGTTCGCTTAACAACGTTTTGACAACCTTGACCATGCCCGGGGTGTATTTGAAGGGGACGCCTTGTTTGAGACGAGAGTTGAGAGGCCGCACCTTAGTGGCGTGATTCTTAAGGAATATTCAGTAGTAACTGAGTCCACCGTGAAGGCTCCGAAGCCGCTTAACATTCGTCGGCGGCGGCATGTGCGTGAGCGCCCTAACCTTGACGCCATCAGGGCTAACACCTGCCGGAGAGATGGTGTGACCGAGAAAGCTGGCGTGCGTGGCGCCGACGCGAGCCTTCCCTGGAGACAGTTTGAGGTTGTACTGTCGCAGTCGTTTGAAGAACTCCATCAAGTTCAGCACGTGTCCCAGAGGTTCCTCATCGAAACAGATGGCATCGTCCAGATAAGCAAGCACACGCTCCAGACCGTGCACCACTCTGTTGATGACCTTGACGAACCAAGACGGACTTGCGTTGGCGCCCTGCGGCATCCGAAGCCATTCGAACAACTGCGTGGGAGTGCAAAAGGCGGTGAGCGGGACAGTGTCTTCATCACAAACGATCTGGTGGAAAGCCGAGTTGAGGTCGAAGATGGAGAACACGTTCCCGGTGTACAGAGAATCCAAGATACCGTCCACTCGAGGGAGAGGTTGTCCATCCAAATCCACCAGAGCGTTGAGACGTTTGTAGTTGACGGTGATGCGAACAGATCCGTCCTTCTTGGGGATGACAACTAAAGGAGAAGCCCACGGAGATGTGGAATGTTGAATGAGCCCTGCCGCCAAATACTGGTCCAAAACGGCATCCACTTTCTTTTGCATCAACGGGTTGATACGATACGGGTGTGATGCAACGGACTTCGTCCCTGCTGGGACAGAAAGCGTGAACGGCATTATGGTGCAGGAACCAAAATCGGTTTTCGAAGTAGAGAACACGTCAGAATACTCCACAAGGGCGTCGGCCAAAAGATCGATAGCCACAGGTGTCCATCCCGGATTGTGTAGATCGAAAGCGATGTCGTGCATATGTGCNTACTTGAGGGAGAGGTTGTCCATCCAAATCCACCAGAGCGTTGAGACGTTTGTAGTTGACGATGATGCGAACAGATCCATCCTTCTTGAGGATGACAACTAAAGGAGAAGCCCACGGAGTTGTGGATTGTTGAATGAGCCCTGCGGGCAAATACTGGTCCAAAACGGCATCCACTTTCTTTTGCATCAACGAGTTGATACGATAGGGGCGTGATGCAACGGGCTTTGTCCCTGCTGGACAGAAAGCGTGAACGGCATTATGGTGCAGGAACCAAAATCGGCTTTCGAAGTAGATAACACGTCAGAATACTCCACAAGGGCGTCGGCCAAACGATCAATAGCCTCCGGTGTCCATCCCGGATTGTGTAGATCGAAAGCGATGTCGTGCATATGTGCGGGCAGCCTAGCCCACAAGCGCATGAAGCTGGAGCGCTATGCTTCAGAGAAGCGGTCAAGTAGGTCTTGTGGAGGCGGCTTCGGAGGAGGCGGGGCGGAGGCTGGGTCCGGAGAGCGGTGAGTCCCGGACTTGGGGCCAACGGCGTTGACCCGAGGTGGTGATGTAGTTGTTGTGGGGCCGGTAAGAATCGAAGATGGTGCCGCCTTGAGGGTTTTTACCGGTACTCGTAGTAGGGGCGCGGCAGACACTCCAATTACGTCTCCCGGCTCGAGCTCGGCACAACCTGCAAGGGGAATACGCTGGAGACCATTGGAAACGAACGCATCTGGGGAAGAAAGCGCACCCACTTCGGGTTTGAACGATACCAGATACTCTCCAATCAGCGCAGGCATGCCAGAAGAACGAACGAGGTTCACCTCAACGAGTGCAGGCTCCGGCCCCAAAGAAATTCCCGAGCTCCCTGCATATTTAAGGTGAAACGAGGAGGTAGGAGCGTCGTCGTGTGTAGCGTAAACGCAAGCGCCAGCTGTAAAACGCGGAGAGAGCGTGAGCTCGCCCATAACCCGGCCGTCCGGTCCAGGGTGGGGGAGGGTGGTGAACACGCGAGAGTTGAAGCGCATCCAGCTATCACGACCCAGAAGCACGGCGTGCCCCATGGCGGCGTCTGGAACAACACAGGCCCAGACCGCCAAGGAAGCGGTAGCTCTATCTCCATGGAGAAAATTAACGGTGAGACGAATCGACCGGGTGGTCACAAGGGCGGGTCCATCACCAAACCCACCCCAACGACGAGAGGGCGAAACACGAACGCTGCCAGCTGTCAGGGCTCCGGCAGCTATCATGGCGGTGACCACGGAGTCGGAAACGAAGGATGCAGGGGACCCAGAGTCCAGCAGCGCCACTCGCGCGAGTTGAGAAGTGGCTGTAGGTCCTCCATGCAGCAGGACCCGGGTGGTGTATGAGTCCGAGTCCAACAGGAGCGTGCCGCCGACCAGATCGGGCCCATGTTCGAGAAGAGGAGGCTGGTCTGCACAGGTGGTCGATGGTCGATGCCACCAGATGAACGCCAGGAGCATGGTCCCCCGGAGCGTCCAAACGTAGACAAGCTGGGTGTTCGCCCGGGTCCTTCCGTAGCGAAGAACCTGTAGCAGTAGCAACCTCATGGATGCGTCGATGTCCATGGAGAGGAAGCTGCGAAATGGGAGGCGTGGGAGAACTGGAAGCGGGGAAATCTTCGCCAGACAGGGGATGATCACGCAGAAGGCGTCGAAGTTCCATCAAAGCTTTTCCCAACAAGTGTTTACCGCTAGCCGCCCACTTGGATGAAACGCTAGCCTCTGGAAAGCATGCAGACATGCCGATACCCCAAACACGATCGAAGCGGCTGGCTTCCGCAAGGAGGCGGGTAACCGTCTCCAGTAGATGATGTTTCATGTCATGGTTTTGAGCGAATTTGGCATACGACCCCGTAAGCACGATCTCTTCACGACGACGCTCCCATTCAGCATAGTCGAAAGGACGCACGTTTCGACCCAAAAACTTGTGTGTCTTAGGATCTGTTGCAGCCATAATTTTGTCATACGACGTCATATCTCCAAACAACTTCGCTTTGTCAGACATCATGAATTGCTCACCACACGAACAACGTACCCCCAGTACGTCAAAAGCCGAAGGGGTCCATTACGGGAACACAGACGGAGGTTTCCAGAAAAGAAGGACGCCATCCGAAGCGTACTCGCACTTCATCAAAAAGCGGAGCCGGTGCAGGGCGAAGGGGCAAAGAGCGGGCACCAGGCACAGGCGGGGGTGGACCAAGCGGACGGGTCCTCTTCTCCGACGGGGAGGACCCAGAAAGCGAGGCAGGAGCGGGCGAAGTCGCAACGCTCCGTGATCCGGAGGGCGGCCTTAGGGCGGCGGCTCCGGCGGGGTCAATGTTAGCAGAGGCCATTCGGCTATTAGAGACCCGTTCGTTAGGAGGAGTCATTCCTGCAACAGACGGATGTTTGATCATTGACGCAGGGCGCTCTTGACTACTCCCCCTTGACAAAGGAGCCGAACCTTCCACAGAATGGTGGGCACTACCATCCGATCCCGATGGCAGTGGTGCAGTCAGCACGTGGTGGGCAGCAGAGGAAGACGCATTCGTATCAGGTGCTGTCACACGGGGGCAGCGGACGGTCGAAGACAACGAAAGCTGCGAAAGAGAAGGAGGATCGACGGGGTTCCCGACGAGTGTAGAAGAAGGCGCGCGTGCGATCCGAGAAGAGGCCCGGCTGACAACACCAGGAGAGTCTTGACGAATAGTAGAAGACGAGGTTCTTGTTCCTTCTGTAACCCGAGACGACGAGGTGAGCAGGGATGGACCGCTCGACGTCTTACCTCCCTGACGCCCCCACCACAAAGGTACTGCCGAAATGGGTCTGTCATGTCCATTACCAGGAGGCGATGAGGCGGACGACGAGGAGGCGGACCGAGAAACTAGATGTGATTTAGGAGCGTGGGGAGTATCCAATAAAAAGGCTGTACACGAACATCTTGGGAGACTCCAAAAGGGTGCACGGTGGTTGCTGTTGATGGTAGTACCGGCTGAACTCCGCCATCGGCTTGTCATTTCTTACCCCTCCAGCCCCTTTTTTTCGAAGTGGAAGCGTCCGACGAGTGCTCTGTGTGTGAGGACTGTTTCGTGTCCGATGTGTCAGATGAGCGGCGGTCGCGTCCTAAGGGGTGATTTCGATGTGGATTGCGCCCTGTAAGGCGTCTCTACGAGGTCATGCGCTTTTTCCACCGACCCCAAAGGGTGGGATCTTTTTCCATACAGAACTTGATGTCATTGTTAAGCA